CCTTTTGTTTCACTAAAGTGAAGCTAAGTAAGAACCATATGTATCTGTTCCAAGTCACCTACAAATTATACTTAAAGACTTAAAGAAAGACTTAGGAAGGGATTTCATTCATAACACTGCTTGTATTTGAGATTTCTTTTTTTTTTTTTCATTGAGGCGGAAATATACATAATTTATTCTAACTCAACAATTTCTACATGTGCAATTAAGTGACATTGAGCACATTCTTGAAATAGTGCAACCATTGTTGTTATTTTTCAAAATCATTTCACCACCTTAACACAAAATCAATGTCACCTAAGCAAAAACTCCACCTTCTCCCCACCCCCATCACTGGTAACCACTAATAATCTTTGGCTTCTCTGTATTTATTTATTTCATGTAAGTGAGATCACATAGTATTTGTCTCTTCGCAACTGACTTGTTTTGTTCAGCATTATGTTTTCTAGGTTCCTCCATGTAGCATGCATTAAGAATTCATTTATCTTTTTGGCTAAGTCATATTCCATTATGTGTATTTACTACATTTTATTTATTCATTCATCACTTGATAGACATTTTGGTTTGATTGTTTGGTTGATGGTTTCAACTTTTTGCAAAATGAGAAGTTCCACAGTGAACACTGCTATACAGATTTCTGTTTGTTTTCCTGCCTTTCCTTTTGGGTACATATGTAGAATAGGGATTATTGGGCTACATAGTAGTAATCTATGTTCAACTTTTGAGGTGATGCCAAATTGTTTTCCACAGAGGCTGTACCATTTTACATTCCCACTAACAATGGAGAAGGGTTACAGTTTCTCCAAAACTTCCTCAAACTTATTGTTTTCCATTTTTCTGGTCAATGTCATTCTAATAACAATGAGGTAGTACCTTATTTTGGCTTTGATTTGTATCTCTTCGAATGTTATTGAGGTTCTTGCATAGCAGAATTTTCTTTTGCACTAAACTACTAACTTAAGGAAGATGGGGCAATCTATTTCTGTAGTGATACTGCCTCGGAAACTCAAGAAGGGGTTGCTATGAGTCAGGTCCAACTCAACGGCACGTAACAACAACAACAACTAACTTAAATATTGATAGTTCAAACTCACCCACCTACAGAGGAAGGCTTGGCCACCTGTTTTCATAAATATTGTAGCCATAAATATCTTGTAGAAGAGTTCTACTCTGGAACACATGCGATCAAAATGAGTAGTAATTAATTGGACAGAAACAGGTCTGTTTTTTTTTAAATTTTATTTAACTATAAGTTTATGTTTATTATCTAAAGGGAAGAACCGTGTAGCCCCCCACCCCCAACCCTCTAGCACACTACAAAGAGATAAGAAAGAGTAAGCAGGTAGTTCTTTGCCTGTAGTTCTGCTTGGGCTATTGTTTGCCCAATCCACACAATAATGAATAATGACAGTCCAAGTCTACTGACAGAAGACAAAGTATTTGAGTGCACTGAGTCTTCTCCTTGAAGAGACCAGTGTTTCTTTCCAAAGTCAGAGTTAGAACCTAGGTTGGGTTCCCTTCTTGAGTGGCACAAGCCACTAGAGGAAAGCATCGAAAACAGTGGCGCAGGTAGCCCAGGAGAGAGGCAGAGAGGCGTTGACGAGGTTGGTGCTGCAGCTGACTGTCCCGGGCCTGGGGAACATCCAAGAGGGCCAGGTCTGCCTGTCTCTCAGTAGGAAGAGACTGAGTCTTGGAGTCCCCAGTTGTCTTAATTTCTTAGCTTCTCCCATAGGGTCTTTGACTTGGGCCAGGATCTTTTTGGCACTGATTTTCTTGTTTTGGCCACTTTCTTGGATGAAGAGGACACATTTTCGTCATCCATTGTTTTGGGGTTACCACAGCACAGGAAGCATTTCATCTTATTTCTTAATAAAGGTTTTTGGAGGCTGTGGGTCTCAGGAGTATGGGTTGTTCTCATCCGCCCTCGTGGGATCTCATCCTGCAAAGTCGAGCTGTGCAAAGCCTTCTTCCTCTGAGAAAGTAGGTGCAACAAATGCTGGCCCTGTGAAGTGTGGGACACCACAGGCTTGGGAGTTGCAGGAATCCTTGTTGGCTTTGTGGTGAGATTCAGCTTGACCTGATTGTCTTGCAGGGGATTCTTCTCAGATTCTTCTCCACAAGGGACTCCTGAAAGTAGCTCTGGGAAGACTATCTCCTTGGGACTCTCCTGACATGAGACAGCAAGAATATAGTTAAGGTTCTTTGCCAGGAACCTGCTGGCCTCTGGTCTTCAGCAGGGTGTCTGTTTTCTCTGGTTGAGGGGAGCCCAACCCCTGTGTCCCCTTCTCCACCGTCCCCTGTTGGTTTGGGTTTCCCTGGGCCCTCTTTCTTCTCTCCCAGGGTGGGCACTTGGGCTGAGTCCTTGCTTTGGCCAGGGCCATGGGATTCAGGACAGCAGGCCTCCTCCAGACTGGGGATGTTCATGCTGGCTTCCACCTGATCACAAAGCACCTGGGCATCTGCCTTGTCCACACTGGGTTGGGAGATCTGGGAGACACAGTGTCCAGAAGCATGGGGCACTTCTCTGGACTTAGCTAGTTTCCTTCTCAGCAGCACTGCCTTTAGCTCAGTGATCAGGAGTTCTTTAAGGTAGGCCTTTCTGCTTCTGGGGTTTGTGGAGTGTCTGCTGGGGTGGCTAGTTCCTGGTTTGTTGGACTCCCAAATGCCTCTTGTGTGGATATGTTCCCAGCAACAGCCACAGTTTGGTCCCTGGACCTCCTTGCCTGTATGGGAATTCCAAACTGTATCTCTAGGACTTTTTCCTCAGATGGAAATTCATTTTTGTCATGGTAGGTCTCCTGAGTACAGGAGGAAGATCAGCATCTGTCTGGCCTCTGAAAGGCACCGTCTCCATTGTTTCCTCCTGCACATCAGTCAGGAGCCTGTGGACACTGTCTGCACAAGTCTTGTCCTCTTGAAAGGCTGGCCCAGGACATGTACATTGCTCTTTATAGGCGATCATCTCAGTCAGGGGCTCTGCTGGGATTTTGAAAGGCTCAGTACAGAGGATTGGCTGGTGATGGACAGGACCGTGGCCTTAGAGAAAGCCATATAGTAGAGAGCAGGTAGCCCTGACAGGAAGGCCAGGTAATTGTGCTGCAAAGTCATTTTCAGTTTCTGAATGTCTCCCTCAGATAGGGATTGGGATGGCTGAGTGTGCTCAATGAGAGCCACTGGTGAGGTCTGCTGATCAGTGGCTGTTGGCCTCTGGGACACAACTTCCTGATCGAAGTGAGGATCAGTTGCTGCCTGTAGCTCTGGAATGTGGAGGAAGGGAGTAACTGCCAGGCTCCCAGGAATTCTGAAGTCCCTGGAGATACACGCATGGGCTGGGAAAATGCCTTGGCAGATCTGCCAACATTTGGAGTTGATGTGGCTCTGAAGTATTGCTTTGGCTTGGATAAGCAACTGTGGCATGGGGAGTAACACTGGGGCTAAGGTAGGTGAGAACAGGTCACTAATCCCCTTGGCCTCTGGGGTTGCAGACTGGAGAATGTTCACATTGTCCAAGGCTGTGCTGCTCCAGGGCAGGGGCTGCTGGTCAGCATGGGACAGGAGCAACTTGAAGGACTGCTCAATCTTCTGGGGCAAGCCCCAGTGATGGTAAATCAACTTCTTCTGGAGGTGGAACTCCAGCAGTCTCCGGACATGGTCTGGAAAGAAGAGTAGTTGCCACGAGAGGACTGAGGTGGGCTTCCCTGACCAAGGAGTTTCTCTGGTCTCAGGAGATGGGGCTGTGTCACAGGACTCTTAGGGCATGGGGCGCTGGGCATGCTGAGATCTCTGGAAAACAGCTGGCAAGTCCCACCTAAGCTGGAGCTGTCTCTGTAGCAAGTGCTACTTCAAGGCTTCACACTAAGCCAGAGTCAGAAGTGAGAGATTGATCTGGATTCCTTGATGGTCAGGAGGGGAGATCCAGTTTGGGGTGGGTGGAGCTGAGAGGGGTGGATCATTGGGCAGCAGGGGGAGGAAGGAGGGCTCATCAAAGAGAAAAGGAACGTCCAAGCAGAGCTGGGCCGTGCTCTTGTCGATGGAGAGGCCTTGAGAGCCCATGAATGTGGCAACTAGGGACTCACTGTGTGGACAAGGGAGGCCACAGAAGAGCTTGCTATGCTGCTGCTTCAAATGGTTCCTTGAACCTTCAGCCTGTCTCCCAGGTGGTGGATAGAGATCATTTAGGACTTTGAGGGCTGGAGAGGGCAAAGCAAGAGCCAGAGAGTTTGGGGTTTTCTGGCAGTGGTGCCTTTGTTCTGGGTCCTTTATAGACCATTCAGAGACCCAGAAGGCCTGGGTGGGCTGGCTGACCATCCATGAAGCCCAGGCCTTGTGGGCAATGGTCCCAGTTGCTTCAACACAGGCATCGGAAGTATTGATCATGGTGAAAGGAATTGGTTGGCTGTTTCCAGGCTGGCAAAGCAATGGGGGCTGTGGCACAAGCTGCCTCAGGGAATCGTCCACACATCTGGGGAGTCCCTACCTCTTGAAATGCACCCACTTTTTCATATGGACCTCGAGAAGCCTGAGGACTTCAGGGCTGAGGAATGGCAAGTGGGCAGGGAGGACAGTGACCACATGCAAAGACATAGCATGTGTCAAATGAGTGAGCTCTGTGTTCAGAGACAACAGAGCAACCTGGGACTTCCAGGGCAGCTGGTCTTGGTTTTCCTGGACAAATTCATAGCTGGCATCTATCATCTCCAGCTGGTTCACAGGAAACACAAACTCCTCAATCCTTGAGGAAGACCTAGTCTCTGGGTCCCTGGGCACATCTGGCAGCAGAGATCCCTGCTCTAGGTACAAGCATTCAGTCTGGTAATTTTGAGTGCTGACCACACCGGTTGGTGGAGCAGCCATTTGGGTAAAGGATTTAGAATCCGTTAATTGTGATAATGTAGAGATTACAGAAGCAAGTGAACACTCACAGCAGCAATTTGGACTCAGTTGCTGACTCTGGTCAGAAATTCTGGACACAGACAAAATCTGTGAGCAGGAGAAGCACTGTGGTGCCCTTGCTGAACTGAAGATGATCACACTCTTCTTACTTGTCAGTGATTTCTGAGTCTCCAGAGCTGTGTCTTTGGAGACATGGCAGTGGGAGACTGCACACAGGAGCTGCAGCACACGTCCCTCCCGAGGAACATGGCTCTCTCTTTTCATGACAGAGAGCTGCCCTCGAAGACCTTCAGCTTCTTCCTGAGATGTTCTCCTAGCTCTTGCTTCCGCGCTGCTAGCCCTTTGGCTGACTCTTCGGGGTTGCTGGCAGCTGTTCCTGGTAGGTTCTGACATCGATCTGTGGCCTCTCTTCTTCATTTGCTAAATGATCAGCTTAATGCTGAAGATAGATGTGTAGGCATATCAGGGACATCCAATAATGCACAGAACAAGGGAAGGGCTCAACATAGACAAAACATCATGCCCATGAGGAGACCAGTCATCCCTCAATCTAGGCATCCAGGGTTCTGGTGCTTAATGCCTGCCAGTGCTGAGCCTTGTCATATTACCTCACAAACAACAGAACCAGAACATGGACTGCATTACAAAGGCCCCGAGTCACAGGGCAGCTGTGGTGATATCTCAGGGGAGCCCATGTAGTGATCCAGTGTGTAGATGAAGACATCTGGTGATCCATCAGTGTTTCAGAGCCTGGACTACAGAGGCCACGGCCACAGGCAGGGTCCCCACTCCCACTCTCTGTCCACCCTCCACCCCATACCAGCCTGATGGCTCAGCTGTCTCTATTGTAACTGTCTCACAACCCATCCCCAGACACTGAGTGTTCAAGCACACAGGACACCTGAAGAGGAAGAGTAGCCAGGCCAGAGGAAGCCCCACCAACTCTTTCACCTGCACCAGGAACACCTGACAGGCACACAAGATATTAGGGCAGCAGGGTCCGGTTCTGGCCTAAAAGTTCTGGCTTAAAAGTGAAGGGTGTTTGCGGCATCCATACCCTTCAGCAATGGGTGACTGGTAAACAGAGTGCAGGAAGGGGACCAAGGCTGATGGGACAGGAAAAGACCCACGGGCCAGTATCTCTCAATGACACTGTAGGAGCAAGGAAGGGATGCCTCCAGTCTGTGGGGGTGGGAAGAGGTGGAGAACACGCCTTCTGAGGAGGCACGGGAGTAAGCCTCACAGCTGGAGGCCTGTCCAAGGTCTGGCTTTGCAGCTGTTGCAGCCCCTGCCCACTCAGGAGGAGGACTATCTGCAGGGATGGGTCAGTGTTCACTTTCAACTCATGGCCATGAACCAATGCTTATGCCTGGGTCTACTCAGTTGCTCTGGGTGTGGGTTGCTTGACTAGAGGTGGCTTCTGTTCTGTTTTTTTTAAATTGTGATTTGGGTGAAAGTTTACAGAGCAAATTCATTTTCCATACAGCAGTTCACACACATGTTGTCTGATGACATTGAGAGTTTACCTCAATGCAAAACCTACCCTCCCACTCCCTCCATGCACTCCTGCCCCCTGAACTATCTCCCTGTGCATAAACAGCCCTTCTTTCTCCTATGATTGTTATCTTCAAGGAATGTACCTATCTCAGGTACATGTTTAACTCTTATGCCTGTATGTTATTTGGCTGGAAGCCACAGGGATGGGTTGAATTCCAGAACTGAAGGGCAGCTGTTGTCGTTATGTGCCATCGAGTCGGCACCGACTCATAGCAACCCCTCCTTGGGTTTCCGAGGCAGTATCACTACGGAGGTAGGATTGCCCAACCTTTCTTCCAAGGACTGGCTGGTGGGTTTGAACCACCAGCCTTCTGGTTGGAAGTCAAGTGCTTTAGCCACTATGCTACCAGAGTGACCATAAATAGTCTCAGTGGTTCCACCAGGCTCTATCAGACCAGCAAACTTGGTCTCCCTTTTTTTTTTTTCCAAATGATTTTGAGTTTTGTTCCACATTTTTCTCCTTCTATATCCAGGATCTCCTACATAGATCCCCCTCTGAGTGGTTGACAGTGGTAGCCAGACACCATCTAGTTCTGCTCTCATAGTCATATAGGCTGAGGATTGCATCATGTACCAGTTGCTAGGACTAATTGTTTCCATGAATCTTTGGATTTCTTCATTATTCTTTGCTCTGGGTGAGGAGAGAGCCATCGTTGCATCTAGATGGCTGCTTGTAAGCTTTTAAGATCCCAGTCACTACTCGCCAAAGTAAGAGGTAGAACAATGTTTTGTGTAGTATGTTATGCCAGTTGAGCTTGATGTCCCCTGCAACTATGGTCCCAAGCCCACATGTTCAACTACTTGGTCCCTCTGGGTAACTGGGTGTGACCAAGGAGTGACAACAACTTTGTCCCTTGTCAGCGCTACTATACCCTGGGAGTTCTTACAGAACATACAAA